TGTTGAGTATGAATCTTTTATACAAAAAAGAATCGTTAAGTGCCACGTAATAACCAAAATAAATTATAAACCTCATAGGAAGAGGAAACGACTAAAATGACCATCCATGATCCTTCATCTCGGACAAAAATATTTACATATTAAAGTCTCATAAGTTCATCTTCCAAAAAATTCAATGTTAACTATAGACTCAATCGTAAAAAAATATTAAAAGCATATGCAGACATAACGTAACCCCATATTAAATGTGGATGTGCCAAATATGAATTATCATTTACTTCAAAGGTCCAAGTGAAATACTCAGAATGTTATAATAGGTTTGATGATAACGCATTATCCGTCAAAGCGAGCAACATGCCATAAAATAATTTTCAATCGAATCATGAATGTTCTTATCCAATTTCACATAGCGCGCTTAAATGGTGGAACAAATCAGCTCAACTATAANCCGGTCCAATAATTCATATAATTTATTTTAGTAATAATAATTTATTTTAGAAAGTGAATGCGATCTAAAATATTTACGTTAGTCTTGTGCATATATCTTTCCCGAAATTTAGTCAAATTTCTCTTAAATTATTTTTACTAACATTTNTTTCGTTATCTTCCCATACACATTTGTGTCTCCTTACATTTTTTTNCCCCGCCTNTCTATATTATTAGCACCAAGAAAATGTTTCATAATCTTGTATTTTCTATTTTTATCCATTTTTTACTTAAATTTCGTTTTTAATTTAATTTTAAACTCTAATAATTATAAATAATAAAAATAAAATAAACATGAATTAAATGAACATTTACTATGAAAATTAATTTAATAATTTTTGTTTTGATGATGTGGACATCCTAGATGGAGAGAGAACTCCCTAATTATATATACGATTATATCCATCAATAATGGTGCTTGGGCTTCCACAAAACTTGAATCCGCAATCGATCTCCTTTACTTCTTTACTTTCATCAATTACACCTACAAACGTAATTGTGAATGATTGGCATGGTATTTTTCTCATGCCTTCACTTTGGATTTGAATGCATTTTATACCTAAAGAGATAGATATTTTCTCGATTCTTATGTTAATTAGTACATATTCAATTATTGTAAAATTATATAGTGGATGAGATTCTTCACCTAGAGTTTTCACAGTTCACCCTAGCCGCACGAGAAAGAGATAAAAAGTGCGATCTCTCTGGTTTTCTCGGCCAATGGCCGAAGGCTCTGTTAGCTCCGCCGTCGGTCGGGAGATA